TAAACAGAACGTTGATTGTTTTCTTGTGAACTCAAAACCTGTTGAAGTAAACATGGAAAAAATTTGAACCAAATCGGGCCGTTCAGTGACTGTCCAGAAATTTTCAAAATTGAGAGGGAAAAGGGGTAAAAACACAATTATTTTAAGAAATTGTAGCGTCAGAACTGCAGAAAGCAGGGCATTATTTTTAGGCTTGTAGATACAGAATCCTTTCAGGTGTACATAGAACAAATATGGTTCAAATGGGAAGAGACAGTGACTGTCCAGAATTTTTAAAAATTGAAGGCAAAACGCGGAACAAACCCAAAAAATTAATAACAAGCAAGTCATTGGCGATTTTTCGAATTAGGCCCACAATTTCCTAGAATGAAACATTATATTTTTTTGACAGATATGATTTATTTGTAGCCAAATTTTGACACCTCTCCAAGTCATTTGCTGTCAAAAACCGCCCCTCCTATCCATGCACTTGATATTACATCAGATGTATTCCGGCCTGGAGCGAACGAGTCCCGTTAATTATCCCGATCATTCCCGTGGAGTATCGGCAATATCTCGCGATGACGGTGGCGGCCCTTAACGACCCGCCAGGGGTCCGGATATTTATGAACCGTCACTGAGGTATGTAATAATCTGAGGCCGGATTTAATTTGGCGGACTGATTTGGCACTGTAGAGCGGCGGCCGCTTAATCACCCCCCGGAAACAGTCATTTGTTGTCTATGGCAACTGGGGGCGCGAAACGCCCCCAACCATCTACGGAATATTCAGCCACTTTTTGATCTGCCCCACGTGGAACTTGCGGGCTTCCAGCACATAGTGCGAGTCCACCGGATGGGCGGCGCGCAGGTCGTAATGGTGGGCGGCCTGGGGAATCAGCACCGCCACCACCGAATCTGAGACGTTCTTCAGCACCCCGCCACTGCACCAGGGATCTGAAAGCCCATTGCTGAAGACAATGTTGGAGGCGTACTTGAGAATGCGCCCGCCATGCTCCAGTAGAACCCCGTTGGAGGAGTAGGGCGTCACTTGGTACTTCCTGCTGCAGTCCTGGGCGTATTTCGAGTAGTTCCACTGGGTCGGCTCGAACATGTCCAGCGCCGAGCTGCAGATGGGCATCACCAGCTCGAAGCAGGCCTGGAAGTCCCAGGCGTAGTCAACGGGCTGTTCCACTGTGGTTTCGATGTTGTTGCACTGAGTGTTTCCCGAGAAATTGGTGGCGATTTCCAGCGCACTGGACACCGCCTGGAGCAGCTCCACGGCGGTCTCCACCACCCCAAAGCTGCGCAGCTTGTCGCAGAAGGATTTCACTGGATTGGCGGGCAGCGGCGCCAGAAAGTGAGTCGGATAGGGATAGTTCAACATTGCCAGATTCACGTAAATATCCACCAGGGTGTCGATTAACTTGCCGGCATCTTCACTAGACTCCAGCGGCTTGCACAACTTGAACACCTGCGAAACACTGCGTCGTCCCTGCACAGTTTCCGACAGGTTTCGAATGGCCGCCCACGACAACTTCACCGGATAGCTGCAGTTGCCATTGGCCGCAAACGACTCAGTGACGGAGCGGTAGAACGCCTGGCACAGCTCCAGGTTGTTCATCTGCAGCAATGGGGCTGAGGAGGCCACTGCGCCCAGCACCACATGGGGATACTTCATGCGCAACCACGCCGCCAACATGCCGCCATACGAACCGCCAAACGCCACCACTGGAAAAGTGTCATTGGTCAGCATGGTGCCGAAGTACTGCCCCCCCAGGTGGTCGATCAGACGCACAAAGTCCGCCAGCGCTTGGGAGGTGGTGAGCAGGCGCAGCCCCTCAGAAGGACTCAGAGAGCGCGCTCCTAAGGGCATGGACAGGCCGTAGTAACGGTGCTCGGCGAAAACCACCAGGGCGTTGAAGATGGGCGCAATTTCCAGAAGAAACCCGGTGTTATCGAAGAATGTGGTGATGTCGGCCTCGTTGCCGCAGTAGAAGAAAATGGGGCTGCCTTTGACGTAGAACTGTTCCACTACCAAGAAGCGCAGCTTGAAGGTTTCGTTGGTTCTGCTGAAGCTGAAGTGGTCGACCGGCACGTCCAGGTAGCGCTCCTGGTACTGGGCGCTGAGGGCGCAGCTGGCCCAGCTCAGCAACAGAACAGTGACGCCGACAAACATACTATGACATTGTCAATTGGGCATCGGCAGGTCGCTGCAGTGTTATTT